GCATATAAAGCAAAATTTAAGCATTTATTTAATGACACTTATTTTACAAGTATAACAACAGTAAATATATGATCTACAGTATTAGCCATTCGATTTCAATTACCATGCAGGGGTCTAAAATCTTTTATGCTTAAGAATCAAAAGTGGTTTCTTAGGAAATTTGAGGTTGCGTGCGTTTTTTTTTATATACCCTGTACCTAATACATATACAGAGCCGGATTGCAAAAACTTACAAATAAGGTCTTTTTTCATAGTCTATATATAGAGAAGAATTATAACAGAATTACAGAATATTCAGCTCAAATCAAATCGAAATCGGGCTTTGCATCAGAATTTGAACAGCAACTCACTCAGAAACCGAGTAAAGTAAAATCATTGCGATGAGCTTAATAGTACTGACCACTCATGTAAACATAAATACTGACCATGCATTCCAATTTCCATGCATTTGTTATTTGGCATGAAGAATATATTTCATCGCTTGTCGCATGCGGTGAGAGGCGAAAGGCCGGTAAAATTTACTGTGAATCACTGTAGGACTGAAAGTTCTCAAAATAGCCGGTGCGAGGCGAAAGGCCGGTAGGATTTAAATCAGTCACTGCAGGAAAAGTTCCGTGTACGTAATGCACCATAATGCATTGCGCTTGAGCTCGATAAGCCACCAAACTGTGCATGGGGCTAGCTCCAGGGATGTCGCGAAGCCATCAACATTGGGGAGGGGGTGTCGTTATGTTTTGACTAACATTTCCTGATTTCGATCAAGTCGTAAAAATTTTTCCTGAAAATGTTGTCGAAGGGGGGAGTCAAAAAAATTTTCCGGACTAACATAAGCATAGTCAACAAAATTTTTCCGGACCAAAATAAGCAAATTCAAAATTTTTCATCGCAAACGTAATAAAACCTTTAAAATTGTTAAAATTGGGAACCATTTCATATATTTGGGTAACTTCGACCATCTTTTATCCAAAACTGACTTTTACCAAATTTTTCCCAGTTTTACCTTCACTTTTAAGCAAATATCAGTTCCATTTTGACCAACTGTCGGTATAGCTGTATGTGTATTTTTTATTAACACACTCCCAATTATTGGGGGAGGGGGGTGTTACACCCCACACACACACCCTACAGCGACGTCCCTGGCTCGCCCAGATAACCGTTTGGCTTCTAAAACCAAACAACGCCAACGACCAGGTAGTCCAAACTAAAGAAACACGGTCAAAAGTGTATATATGTACTATTTAAAACACGAGTAGGAGTGTTTTATCAGATATATATAAATACAAAAGAATACGAATACAAAAGAATACTAATTAGGATGAACCATTATATAATCATACTAATGAGGATGAACCATTATATAATGCCTCATGCTCTATCAGATATAAAGTCATTCCACGTGACATATTATGGCTGACATGATTTGCCAAAAGGTTTATGAATTATTAATGAGTATTTTAAATATATATATATATATATATATATATATATATATATATATATATATATATATATATATATATATATATATATATATATATATATATATATATATATATATATATATATATATATATATATATATATATATACAGCTAATTCAATAAAGGTTGTCCTTTGCAAACCTTAAACTCTAAAACCTTAAACTCTAAGCGCGCAAAGCGTAATGGGAGCACTATTTAAGCAGTTTAGAAAGCATACATGGATCCCACTTCTTAGAGACATGGTAAATATGTGCCTGATCTGATATATAGATCTATATCTGATCTGATATATATATATATATATATATATATATATTGGCAAAAATATAATATTTTTAAAACGAAAATAAATAGTTTAAAACGAAAGCCTTGCAAAATTGTTTAGGGAAATTTAAATCTTGTGTCCACAGTCCACACACTTTAAAATATGTTCCACCCCAAGACGATATGTCAAGTCATACATGCATGTATAGTATTTCATATTAAATTCCAAACATCAAAATATCAAAAAATATATTTTAATATATTACAGGAAAGATATTGGCGAAAATATCAAAGGACAGGATGCAGAAGAGCCGTAAGGATTAGTAATTTTTATGCCATATTACAATTAATGTCGACCATATTAAACTACAAGCGATAAATGATATCATACTATATTAAACATGCAAAGAAATCCGTGGCTTTGTTCATGCAAACAAAGACAAAGTATATAGATAATTAAGGTTATCCCCGAGCAAAGCGGAAAAGTCGAATACGAGCCGAATATAAAATTCATTAATTTTTTAGCGATTTCCAGCCAGCCTTTCGCGCTTTCGCGCTCGAATTCGACTTTTCCTCTTTGCTCGGGGACAACCTTAATTGAAATAACTGTATGTCCATGCATGGATATAGTAAAACCCAACTGAGTAGTTACATGATCTGTATTGTCAACTTTAAGCGAACGAGATTAGTAATACCATCTTGCAATATATTGAAAGTAATAATAATAATAATAAATATATATTTTGCCCTTTTTTGAAAATTACAAAATAACAATTAATTCTTGAATAATAAATAGAATAATAAATATGAATAGTTAACACACTGTTTAATAAATATTTGGCCTGGTAACTAAATTAATAATTAATGCATGATCAGTATATGTGGCCTGCATGCACACTACATATATATAACCAAAATACAAGTATATACGAGGAGTATTTATATGTGAATTACATTTATTTTCCAGAGTAGCGGCTGGTAATGGTAAATTCACAAAAGGAACAGTATACAAACTAAAGAGTAAAGGAACCACTGGAAAACCGACAATTACCTGAGATAGTTAGAATAGAATGGCAATCTTTCGAATTGTAGATGCCGAATTTACATAGAAAACCGCATATATAGTATAAACAAATGTAATCTTAAATTATCTTTGAGTAGTCAATGAATGATGGATAAATTCTAAATAAAAACGTTTGTATGCAATTATCTGTTTTGAGATATAGTATAATATAGATATATAGCATGTATATACACAGTTCACGATCGTCGTTCCACCAAAATCTATACAACGTACGTGCCTCACCTCCCACAAACTTCGCGTATGCGCTGGATCACAATTGACCAACACCTCAATTTCACTGACCAGAAGGGTGAGTGCTCGGTGAAATAGCTGGGAATATAGTACAAATTATATAAAGCATAATTATTACTCGCAGCGAACCAGCGACTGGTGAGCACTGCATGTGACTGGAGCTTAAGGATATACGGAATCCGGCGATTCATGCCACGAGTATAACTGCATGAGAAAAAGCAGCAATGCATTTGTTGCCAAGACCAGGGGTTAAAGGGCAATCACAAGTGACAGATATATTAAACATGTTTAATGTTTATGTTTATGTTTATGGAAGTATAAATATTCACTAAAGCATAAGCAATAATATTTAATTTTTCCAAGACCAAGTGGAATCTGTTGAATTACGCGCTGCTTTAGGACGCCTATAAATACATGCAACGACAATAAAGCATTCTTAAGACGTACATTATGGCCTTTACCTGCAGGGCCTAAAACTTTACTAAATCTTCCGCTGAGGGCCTGAGTCAAAATAATTTGCAAATCAAAGCAAGCAAAACAATAAACGATATCCTTCAAACACGCTTCAATTAACTGACTGTCGCACGTCGCTTATATTTTGTGTTCTGCGCATAGCAAGCGCGCACGTCCACAATGCAATGCGCTAAATAACATTTACTTGAAAACCCCCTCTCTGCACAAATTGGAATGCTGCTTCGCTCGCTCCGGCTTCAGGCTCGCTCGCTACGCAGCAAAGCAATTAATGTTACACCCGCGGCCGATATAAATGCAAACGCCGGCCACCATTGCGGCCATTTAATTACACTTCGGTCTCTTCTCATAATTTCAAAACCTGGTAAACAGATTTTATGACCATTAATTGAGGAGTCAAGCTTGGTCTCATTTGTACATAGTATCATTAGTATGTCTATTTTAGTACGCTTATAAATATTCCGGCGCATTATATGGGCCAACAGACTATGTATATTTTCCCTGGTATTTTCAAACATGCCATATAGCCATATCTAGATGACATGATATTTTACCAACACATTATACATCATAGGCGGCCATAGGCATCATGTGAATGTTAGGCATTACATGATAGGATATTAAAATAATTTTACTCACTTATTAACTCACTCACATTTATTGGCAATTCCTCATCTATATTCACTTTGTCTTTGTTGTACGTCAGCATTCAGATTTGCATGAGACTCCCCTGATGTAATGTCCAAACAGTTTAGTAAAATGATGTTTAGTTATAAATATACTCATAAACAGTCGAAATTATATTTATAACAGAAATATGGCAAATGTTTTGTTTCGTTCAAATACAGAACAATTAACAGGCTTTAGTCTAAACTAGTTTAGTGTATGTTTGATCCATGAACGTAATTTTGGAACATATTTCACAATCTGCTAATAAAACTTTTCCTGCCGCGATCGGATATATGCAGTTTTCGCATTATTAAACTGATATTATACCTCAGTTGCATTTATAAGAAGAATTCTACCAAATACTGACAGACGGTTTCTGGGAAGTTGAAATTTAAATTTCTAAGCACGTAGGCTACAGTAGGACGGTAAAGTCAGGCTGCACGCAGGCCAAGGACGGAAACGCAACGACGGACGACAAAAATACTGGTTCAACACTTAAACTAAATTGATTACAAAGAAAACCTGTCGTCTAGCTATTATCCATCGTATGAAATCAATACTAGTTAAAGCCTGGTTCACATGCACTAGCAATTCTGTCGGCAATTTTTCTCCTCCTGGCAAATGTGATTGAATGAATGACATGCAAAAGACTGCGAATTGTTCACTTCTGAAAAGCGACTCTATACTTTTCGGTGCGAGTTCACTCATTTGCATCCGTCAGAAACACAAAATCGGCCGACAAAATTACTAGTGGGAACCAGGCTTTAAGGATCAAGTTAAGACAGGGGTTTATGGTTGAGAGAAGTTCTATACAACTATAATTTGAACAGTTCTATAGCAGCTTGAAATGTAGCCGTTGTATACAAGACGTGATAATCTGCCGTGGTTTGTCGTCGGAAACAGGGCGAGGACGACGTCTAAAATCCCGCGAGATTTTCATTATTTCTTTCCTGATTTTTTCTGTGTTGGTGTAATGTACTCAGGTGAATATGATGCTTGTGATGTTACTCTGAGTGCATATCCACACCACACAGTATTAGATAACATTGATATCGAAGGAACTAGATTCTGTTCCGAAATATCACATACTCGAACCGACCAGACCGCGTAGCTCAGTTGGCAGAGCATTGAGCTAGTATTCCAAAGGTTGTAGGTTCGATTCCCACCGTGGTCAGGCATATTTTTCAAGCTTGCCCGGTGTAGATATGCACTCAGAATAACATCACAAGCATCATTTCTTTCCTTCCTACAACATTATGAATTTCATTGTATTAGGAAGAATTAGGCTAATAGCATTTTCGTCCTGCTTTCTAATAACGGTAGTTAATTTTTTTGTCGGCGCCACAACTAAAAGTATAAATTTAAACTTTGAAGCTGTTTCTTGTCACGTCCACGGAGCCTTCACTATGTTGATAGTATATAATCGATGGGTCCAGTCCATGTTTTGTACTATGCCTATAATCGATATCCGATCTCATACAAAAATTTTTGCAATACGTCTGCCACGCAGTCTAAAGTTCCCGCAGAGCTTTGCTGAAACCATGCAGGTTTGAAAGATTTCCGGTGACTGACTGAGTTAGACAACATAATGGCATCTTAGTTATATTTTAGTTTCGACTCAGTATATAGCACAAACACAAGGGTAAACAGGTATAAAAATGATTTATTAACTATATATATTGTTTACTTAATTAACTACTATATATTCACACATTGCATTAGGAATCGGCTTATATAAATCGTGACTGGCCATTATTTCTTTGTTGCTGATGACATCATTCTATAAAAGTTTATGTGATTTGGTTTAAGAAATGTTTAAGCAAACTGAGTCAGTTCCCTCAAACATTTCTTACAAATCCTTCAAAACTCTTAAAATTATATTTAGAATGTTAGGGTTTATAATCCAAGTGAGAATATATACATTTTAAGACCTAACCAGGAACGACTGCGAAAAATGCAGCACAAAGTCCTCTGGTAGGAATTGCACCTACGGCCCTGCGATTCCGGTACAGCGCTCTAACCAACTGAGCTACAGAGGCCAGCTGTTAAGCTGTAACCGTAAGTTCATGTATATATAGGTAATCGGGTGTGCGGGTTGTGATAAGGTGGACTTCAATGATTTGGATTCTTGCACTTCACTTGGTGGAATTAATATTAACATTCTAATATTAATTCCACCAAGTGAAGTGCAAGAATCCAAATCATTAAAATTATATTTACCTATCTAGCTTGCAGGCACAGGTGTTTCAGAAGTCTCTATCTAATCATGTATTTGAACGCGGTGTACACCAGGCTCACTACTCGGTTCCAGTCTACCGTACTGCACGCGCTTTCCTCGTTCTCTGGAGAAATCTGGCGCGCAAGAGACGTACTTTCCGGAAAAATGTATTAATATAGATATTGCGGCAGGAATTAAACCTCTTCTTTTAATTAGCAGAAATAAAGCAGCAGGCCTTAGCCGTTTTAGTATATTTGATCCATTTTGGTTAATAAGCTTAATTTAATTCCTGCCGCGATATATTGAAAATATGAGAAATGTGTTGCATATGAGAAATATTCTCAGCAAATACAGTTGAAATTCAAAGTTTTAAGCCACAAGCAACAATATTTGACAGTATAATCCGGTCTATACACAACACAGTTGATTTGTTTGCTGTGCTTTGTCCATGGGACGTTCACGAAGTCTGAAACTTCAGCGCTTTGCTGAAACCAGGTTTGAAAGATTTCCGGTGACTCGTGGTTTAAATGTGACAATGCATACGTATACGTTTTATTTAGTTGCGACTTGGTGGTACAAACGAAGGACTTTGTCTCATCGCAAGTTTTCGAAGTTAAACAGGTAAAAATTACTTCACTATGATTGTTTCTTAACTGTTTGTATTAAAGGAATTGACTTCAATCGTAGTTGTAGATATACCTGTACTTTATATTTTGTTTATGTTTCTTCAATCCTTACGCTCAATTCTTCCTTATGCACTTGGCTCAATAGTTAGAAGAGTTTGTCGGTTAACCGAGTCAAATCCGAGCCGGAGTCAAATGTCTGAGTCACTGTTTAGCGGTCTTTGTAGTAGTTCAATGACTTAGTACCCTATATAACCCTAAGTAGGGACTCCTATAACCCTATTCGATTATGAATTTTATTCAATTCCGTCTTTTTTTACGTGACTTGGACTTTGTAAATGGATTCACTCGTTAGAAGAGCCATCTGCGTTTACCTTAATAGCATCACATGTAATAAAGTTGTATATATAAATAACTAGGATGGAAAGAGCTACATTTTTTGCTGCAAATGTTTTTGCTAACTAATCACATTAGGGAGCTTATTAAAGATACACCAAATCTACGACGTGGACGTGACGAAAAACTGCCTCTATATTATCACAGTTTTGCCTCACGGGTAAAAACTGTGGATAGGCAAGATGGCTGTTGGTAAACAAAGCTAAAGTAAAACTAGTCTCCAATTATTAGCGACTGTTTTTAGTCGCGTGCGCGTCGCAGATTTGGCGCATCTTAAGATGGCGTGTTGTGCCCATGTATGGATATGCCACACCATTTTGACGCCATTTTCACGTCGTCTTTGACGTCCGCGTCCTCGATCTAAATCTGTCTATTGTTAGTTGCTCCGTACGCGCCCAACAAATTCGTCCAGAAGACTGAATAGCTTTTGAAGAAAAATAGCTTTAATATTTAAAATATGCAGATCGAAGCAGCCTTCTCCAAACCTTTTTATATATCCCAGTTTTAATATTCTTCATTTAGTTTCAAATCTATTTGTTAACAGCTGTTTCAGAAATTTCCATCATGTATTTGAACGTTTTCATCATCAGTTTTGCGGCATGGATATCCTTTTCTTCTGCGCAGGTAAGTAAGGCATATTGTGGTTTCATGACAATACAAAGAGAACAGTTCGACATATATCATATACAGAAAAACTAAATTGGGTCAATCATGGTTCACATTTTGCCGGCTCATGTTGTACACAAATAAGATCATTTGAGGCAAAAGGGTTTTTCACAAGCCCCAGCCCCCAAAAACATCGACATCAAATCACGAATTGGGGAACATTACACATATCTTTCAAAAACTAGCCAAAATCAGCAAATCAGTGCATAATTTTTGCTCCATGTTAAGAAAATATATAGGTTTAACTTTTTTCTATAAATATGAAATACATGCAGCACCTATCAAACGGCTATCATACAACCCTAGTACAATTTTATTCAGTTTACAACGCAGGAGCCAGTTGACGTTGAATCCAACCATGATCTCGGACCGTGCGATCAAGAGAACTACGGTCGACGTGAATTGATTAAAGACAGTGATGGCAACGAAACACTCCTCATTTGCTCTAAGGACAATGGTGTTTATTCATGGAAGGAGGGCGCTATGGAAACCGAAAGTGGTCTTTTTTGTTTTAATTTATTGAATGAGTGTTATGAATGAATTACAAAAATGAAGTAATGCACTCAACCACTCACAGGAGAATCTCAAAATAATTGTAGACTGCATGGGTATATATACAAAGTTTAATCACATTTGGATAAATACAGTATGAACACTTTTGCTTTTACAAATTGCTAAAATTATGTACTTTTATACTTATATACAGGTAGTATGCATTTCTTAACAATTACATTAGCAGTGATAACTTTAAGATTCCTGGTTTTAATCCTATTATTCGTCTTGATAGAGAAGGACGAGTTGGAGGCGGAGTTGCTTTATTCGCAGTTGATTCTCTTGTGGTTAAGCGAAGACACAACCTAGAAATAGTTGGGCTTGAGTTTTTATGGGTTGAATTCAGCGCATCAGGGAGTAATTTTCTTTGTGGAGTATGTTATAGGCCGCCAGACGATAATATCGTATCCTGTTCTCATTTTTTTGACAGCTTTCAGAAAATGCTCGATATAATAAGCCTATCGCCTAATAAATATAAAATTGTCATTCTTGGCGATTTTAATGCACATTATAATAAACAAATACCTAGTGACAGTACAGAGATTGGGAAACAACTTCATAGGTTTTTGGAATCCAATAATCTTGTGCAATTAATCTCTGAGCCAACTCGTGTAACACAAGGAAGCTCTACAATATTAGACTTATTAATAACTGATTGTTGCATGGGTGAATTTTCGAATACAGGCATTATTAGTCCTCCTTTGAATTGTGATCATTCAATTATTTGTGGGGAAATTAACAATTGTCCTCAGCGATCTCCTAGTTTTAAAAGGGATGTTTGGAATTTTAACAATGTTAATATCACAAACCTCAATCAGGAACTTGAACATGCTAACTGGTCGCAGTATTTGGAAAATGAAACTGATATTGATGTGATATATAGCAAATGGTATCGGAAATTTCGTTCCATAATCGAGAAACATATACCACTTAAATCTGTGACTATAAGACCAAATGACAAACCATGGATGAATGGCCTTATTCGTTTAGCAATTCGTAAACGTAATCGATTTTTAAAAAAGCATATTAAACATCCCACGCTGAACACATGGGAGCGTTACCGTGCACAACGAAATCAAACTAATTACTTAATTCGAAAAGGAAAAAAATCCTACTATGAAAAAGTCAATCGAGATTTAAGTGATTCTACTATAAATAATAAGAAGTGGTGGGCAATCGTGAAACGGATTTACGGCGCAAAAAAGCCTTCAATTCCAGCATTAATTGAAAATAATGTTGCCATATCGGACCCTGTTCTTAAGGCTCAATTATTTAATGAATATTTTATCTCGCAGACTGAATTGATTGGATCAGATAACACTCCTCCTTTCATTGTTCCGTTTCAGAATTCGAAATTTATTTCAGATATAGTTGCTACAACTCAGGAAGTCCTTTTTCTAATGCGAAACCTGGACAAATCCAAAGCCTGTGGTCATGACGGTATTGGAAATAAAATAATTAATCTTTGTCGTGAAGGCTTTTGCGTTTTTTTTACTAACTTCATAAATTTAGCCTTCAAAATTGGTAAATTTCCATCTCAATGGAAACTAGCAAATGTTATTCCATTATTTAAAAAAGAAAATCGTCAATATAAAGTTAATTATCGTCCTGTTTCGCTGTTGCCCTCGTTTTCAAAAATTTGTGAGAAAATAGTTTTCGATCGTCTCTATAATTTTTTGATAGATATTGGTTTTTATATAAATACCAATCCGGTTTTAGACCTGGCGATTCTACTATTAATCAGTTAATCTATATTATTCATCAAATTTATTTGGCTTTTGAAGAGGGCATGGAAGCACGTGTAGTCTTTTTAGATATTAGTAAAGCTTTTGACAGAGTCTGGCATGCTGGATTAATAGTAAAACTCAAGGCAGTGGGTGTTCGCGGTCCACTGTTAATGTGGATAGAAAGTTATCTCAAAGA